TTCCTTTGGGTATTTCCTTTGGTTTTTCTTGAGTTGCCAAAAAAGGAAATTTTTAAAATTTTTGTGATTTGCGGAAAAAGGGTTGTAATATTGCTATTGTTTTATAATTTGTATTTATTCTAATATAATTAAATATTCTATATTTAATTGTTTAAAATTATCATTTATTAATAATTTATATACATTTGAATTTGTTGTAATATTATCAAATATATAGAGTTTCAACAAGTATTTATTAAATTAATTTATAAAAAAAAATTTTTTTTTGATTTTATATTAATATATAATTTATCTAATAATAATATTGAATTTGCTAATTTATTAACAAATTTATAAAGTTTTTTAATTGCTAGTTCAATTAATTTTAATTTTATTTCAATTATAAAATTAATAATATATACTGTATAATAATAATATATAAATATATAATTTTTAAAATCTTTTTTAAAATCTTTTGCTATTTGCTATTATATTATTAGTATTATTGATTGTAATTGAAATTATTCTATTATTAATTTTTAATTCATTCAATATTTATCTATATAATAAGCAGTAAGATTTAAATATAAATCTTTGTTATATAAAAATCAAATATCTATTGTAAAAACAAATTTCAATCCAATTTGAATTAAATTTTATAAAACATTTGTATATCAATATTTAAATTATTTGTTAATTTTTTTAGTTACTATTTGATAACATAATAATATATATTGTAAATTAAGAAAAGTTACAAATTCTTTAAATAAATTATTTTTGACTAGTTAAATACTTATAAATTACTTGTAATCCACTCAATAAGTTTAATTGTAATTGATTTGACTTCAAATTTTGAATAAGGTTTAAATCAATATTGTATAAGTATTGTTTGTAAAGGTGAATTTTTAAAAAGATAAAAGTTTCCAAGAGTTTTTTTAATATTTTTACTAATATCATTTTTTCATAAATTTTTGTTATATATTTATAAACATGAGATTGATTTATTGGCTAATGAATCAAAAGTATTATTATCATTATTATTATTAATAACAGAAGATGACATGTTTGACATTAATGTTAATACAAATCAGTTTTGATATACTATTTGAATAATTCTTTTTGAAAGCAAACAGGAATTTTTACAGACTTTATAATTGTACTTCTAGAATTTATATTGTATATATATATTGTTTAAAAAATAAAGATCAAAAAATTGTATATAACATTTTTGTCATTTTCAAAAAGTCATATAATGTTTTTAAAAAGAATTAGCCATATAATGTTTTCAAAAAGAATTAGCCATATAATGTTTTCAAAAATAATCAACCATATAATGTTTTCAAAAATAATCAACCATATAATGTTTTCAAAAAGAATTAGCCATATAATGTTTTCAAAAAGAATTAGCCATATAATGTTTTCAAAAAGAATCAGCCATATAATATTTTTGTCGTTTTCAGCCATTTATCATAACCTTTTTATGTAATATGATTGGTACATCTTTGCATATCCCTTAATGGAACCGTACCGGTTCTAACCATGGTTTGGTTCAGTTCAGTTCAGTTTTATAGTTCTAACCGAACTATTAACATCACTATGTATATCGCGTTTTTATACACACGCAGATCCAAAATTAAGAATGAAGTGAAGGTTTATTATATAAATGTCGTAAATGTTCAAGCAGAGTCAAGTTTTTTGCATTCTCTGGATAATCAATAATCTAACATGAATGCAATTATTACGGACGTGGCATATCTTTTGACCGCATGTGCAGTAACTTACGTTGCTCACTATTATTACAAATACTTTACGCGAGAAAGTCCTCTGCCGGGGCCATTTCCACTTCCATTAATCGGCAGCCTTCACAAAATACACGGTAATATTGATAAATACTGCACGTCCTGCCAAAAAAAATATGGGGACATGTTCGAATTGTGGATATGTTCTCAACGTTTAATCTTTCTCGGAAATGCCGAAGTGAACGAAAAACTTTTTGTCGGGTCCCTGTCAAAAAGTAATTTCACTAAACGTAGCGTTTCCGAAAATTTCGAAGCACTTGGGTTTTCCAGAATAGGATTGGTCTTTAATAACGACTCCAGTTCGTGGAATTATAATAGAAAATTGATTGAACAGGCATTGATGAAACCTTCATTCTTGAGAAATTTGATGGATGATATTCAATGTATTTATGAAGAGATGGAAGGTTATTGGAAAATCATTGAGAGTAAAGAGCCAGGTGCCGTGCATGATATGGCAGATTGGTGTATACGGTTTACCACTGACATCACCTTTTACATGTCAACCAGTAAACATGCATATTGCATGGCTTCTTATTTCAATAAAGTGGTACCCGATCATAAGATAAATGTTCCAGGAGATGCCGTAAATGAGTCTGAAGAATTCGCCTCGAGAACTCAGACGTACATTGACTCTTTGAATTTTTGGTACTTTTGGAGTCCATTCACTGTCAATTACATACCAGGATTCAGTTACATGCATAAGAAATACAAGGACAATATAAAATGGTTATACGATCGAATCTACAAGTTAATTTACGCTCGTAGAGCAGAGATTAAGAAAATCTCAGAGGATGTACCTTTACGCCCAGACATTTTAACTTTATTCATCACCGCAAACACAGAACGTGAATTGGAAAAGGTCAAGGGTGTGACTAATAGAGAAACTTTAAGACCAATGACCGACGATGAAATTTGTTATAATATTTTTGACATCACGGAAGCTGGTATCGATACGGTGCGTTCTCTTTACGTAAAGGCTACTACTACGTAAGCACATCATACTAATCTTTGAATGATAATCAATTTAGGCCGCAAACGCCATGTGCTTCACGATATATTTCCTTTCGAAATATCCAGAGCACAAACAAAAGGTTCACGAGGAACTTGATTCGGTCCTCGGCCCAAACCATGATCGTCGAATAGCATATGAAGACCTCGATAAATTGCAATATCTTGAAGCGGTCATTAAAGAATCTTTAAGGCACATTCCAATAATACCATTTGCCTTCAAGATATCTGACAAAGATGACTTTATAGGTGGCAAATTCTTTCGCGGCGGACAAGTTTTTTTCGTGAGTTTTAGTGGAATTCATAATAACAAGAAAGATTGGCCGGACACCGAGAAATTTGACCCGACAAGATTTTTAAATCCTATTGGAAAAAACACTTTCTTACCTTTCGGAGGTGGCCCGAGAATTTGCCCTGGGCGACATATCGGAATGATGGAGATAAAGACATTTTTGGCCTCAGTTTATAGAAAGTTTGATGTAAATTTGGCTGATCCAAACGCTCCAGCAAATGAAGAACTAGGATTTGTTAATCATTGTAAGAAATGTGAAGTTAGAATTACACCAAGAAATTGTTAATATTTGAATTGATACAAATCACACAACTCTTATTTATTCTAAATTTTTTAATAAAGGTTATATATTTAATAATTGTGATTCATATCATACAGTATATTCAATTTAAAAATTTGTGGCTAATGAAATAATTCATTCTAAGCCACATCAGTATAAAAAAAAAAAATTCTCGTGACTTAAAAATTCCGCGACTTCGTCTTCTGTAATGAGTGCCATCGAAGAACTTCAAACTCTCGTCCTCACAACACTTGAAGAAAAAGGTTCGATTTCGAACACGAAAGAACTTTGTGCTCCCAATGGCGAAGATTTAGATCAGTTAGCATTGCTTGGTGCATTAAAGAGTTTAAGTCTGGAAGGCGAAGAGGTTGTTTTTGTGATTCCGAAATAACGATAATAATCCTTTATATTCAAGGCGTTTTATTGATTTTTTATATAGATGGTTCATTACGATTCTATCGAAGGAGAAGTGTGGGTGCTAACTGATGAAGGGAATGAAATCGCTGATAATGGAAGTCACGAAGCTAAAGTCTTTGAGGCCATTCCTATCGGAGAGAAGGGAATCGAGATTCCTGAATTGCAGGCACGTACATCGACAAAAAAAAAAAGTTCTCTTTTCCCTTTTTATTGACGCATACCATTTCCTGATGTTTATAGAAACTTTTGGGAGAGGCTGCAAAAATAGGTCAAGGGAAAGCCTTCAAGAACAAATGGATCACCAAAAATGGAAACAATGTCATTCGTGCGGTATGTTTTGACAAAATACCATGTATTCACGATTCACTAAGTTCTATGCTGAGTGATATTTACTTTATTTTTTAACGGAACAATTAAGGTCGATTCCATAGTAGATCAGACGCGAATAGATCTCCAAATTATTCGATCGACCGGTACACATTCGGATCCTAAAGTGTTATCCGAACTAAAAAAGAGGAAACTTTGTGACAAGCAGTTTGTATTTGAAAGATTAGTGATCTGCCGGTCTTCTCGCATCAAATTTATTAATTGTATTCGATATATCTGTTGTTATGATTTTCAGGAAAAAGTTTTCCTACTCTGTCACAAAAGGGCCATGCTTCTCATTGACTATAGAGAAACAGGCTCGTGATATAACGGTTGAGATGCTCCAGAGGTATGTATCTTGCTTGCGATTGTCGTTTCACGATGGCCATTTAAAATCTTATGTTATAAATTTTACTAGCGGAGAATGGAAGAACGAGAAATTTAAAAAGTACAATTTTGATGCTCTCGGAATATTACCTCTTGGTGGGCATTTACACCCGTTGATGAAAGTCCGTGAAGAATTTAGGCAGATTTTTTTTGAGATGGGGTAAACTTTTTTTTTTATCAAAGGCTAACTCAAATAAAAAAGTAGAATTTAATACTCAGGAATGCTGTTAGGTTTGAAGAAATGCCAACAAATAGATTTGTTGAATCATCTTTCTGGAACTTTGACGCACTCTTCCAACCTCAACAACATCCAGCGCGTGATGCACACGATACCTTTTTCTTAAAGGGTGAAATATCCAATAATTCCATTTTATCGAGCAGAGATGTATTCATTAATAAATGAATTATCTAATGTCCGTAGACCCCGCAACTAGTACACAATTTCCCGAAGAATATCTCAAACGCGTCAAAGAGGTTCACTCTGTTGGAGGATACGGATCGACTGGATATGGATATGATTGGAAGATCGAGGAGGCACAAAAGTTAATTTTAAGAACACACACCACAGCAGTTTCATCTACCATGCTGTATGATCTCGCTCAGCAAAAGGAATTCAAGCCGGTGAAATATTTCTCTATAGATCGTGTTTTCAGAAACGAGACGGTGGACGCTACACACTTGGCAGAGTTTCATCAAGTTGAAGGTGTAATTGCTGATAAAGGATTAACACTGGGAGATTTGATCGGATTTATGGACACTTTCTTTGGAAAGATGGGTTAGCATCAGTAATTGACCTTAAGTGATATATTTACGACATCTGTATTTACATAAGATGTATCGTTGTGTGGTTCACATAGGAGTGAAGAATCTTCGATTCAAACCCGCCTACAACCCATACACTGAACCAAGTATGGAGATTTTCTCTTATCATCCTGGTAAGAAGATTCCACATCTTATAAATCATTAGGAATGATCCATTTTATTGTGCACTTATATTGTTTTTCATGAATTCAGGTCTGGGTAAATGGGTAGAAGTGGGTAACTCTGGCATGTTCCGTCCAGAGATGTTGGAACCAATGGGTCTTGATCCAGAAGTTCGCGTCATTGCTTGGGGATTAAGTTTAGAACGACCTACCATGATAAAATACGGAATCGATAATATTCGTGAGGTAAGTTTCGCGCCTCCGGTTGTTAATCATATCCATCCAGGAAGGATTTGTTAACTGATCGATTATTTATCCAGTTACTCGGACACAAGGTCAACTTGTCAATGATTCAAAATAACCCTATTTGTCGTCTGGACAAGTAGGGCGTTTGATAGTAAACTCAAGTTGATTCCTAGAAATTTATCCAAGGCCTATTTGATGTGAAAAAGAATTTTAAACCAAATTTTTTTATTTGTACCACACGATAGGATTTACCAATAATAATACATAAAATCTTAATTTAACATTATATATATATATATTATTCTAGCGATTTTTCTAAATTAAATTCTTTCACTCCTTCACTTTTTTCAAAAACACCTTTCTCGGTTACAATTGCACTAATTAATTCGGCTGGTGTTATGTCAAAACTTGGATTCCAAACTTTAACTCCCCTTGGCGGCACCCTAACCTTATCGATAATTATTTTACCACTTTCGTCCTTAACTTCATTATATCTACCTCCTTCGCCTATCACAGGAACTCCGCTCACGAATACCACTTCGTCCTCTGATCTCTCTTCTATAATTATATCTTTGCCACTTTTTATGGTCAAGTCAATACTCATGAATGGCGCAGCAACTATAAAAAAGATACCGTGATACTTTGCAGTTATAGCCAACTGATACGTGCCAATTTTATTTGCGGTATCTCCATTCCTGGAGATCCTGTCCGCACCTACTATAATTGCCGTAATTTTGTTTGAAGTCGCTGAGACTGCTAGAGATGACTTAAGATGCGGTGGTGTTGACGATGACAATAAAGAAGAAACCATAGAATCGCAGATCAAAGTACTCGGAATTTTATCATGTAAAAGTTCATAAGCAGTTAGCCGTGAGCCTTGATTGTAAGGACGCGTTTCGGTGCAATAGGCATGCAGCAAACGCCCCCGCGAATGTAGATCACGTATTATACCAAGTGCTGTCCCGTAACCGGATGTTGCTAGTGAACTAATTAATAAAAGTGAATGTGGTCATCCTATAGGAAGAAAATTTCCGATACAAAATTCCAACTTACCCAGTGTTGCAATGAGTGATCACACTGATCATTTTGTTTTCATGTTCATCTTCAACTTTTTTGATCAAGAATTCGCCTCCATGTTTTCCAATATTTTTATTATCTTCCAAATCATCCTCTAACATTTTAACAGCCGCATCAACCAATTTCTCGATAATTTCTCTTGATTCCAATCCCTCTTCAAACTCCTTGCAAGTAATCTCCCATAGTTTTTTTGAGGCAAGAAATAAATTTACAGCAGTTGGACGTGAGGTGATCAAATGATCAAGCGATTTACGAACAAATGCCTTAAGCTCCTGTGGAGACGAGATTATGCTCAGAACTTCAGGATCTTTAGGATTTATATCGGTAAAATTGTGTAGTTTAAGTTGTAGATCTACGGCTAAAGAAAGTGAGGCAACGATTCCTATTGCCGGTGCACCCCGGACTTTCATCTGTTTAATTTGATCATAACCTTGTTGAACTGTTGTCACCGACTCATATGTAGTTTGGTGAGGCAATAATAGTTGATTTAAAATTTTCAGTGAAGGTGGGGCACGAGTGTACAAAATTGAAGATAATGTCATTTTCGTGTGCGTAATGTATATAGTACGCATGTGTATATAATGTATGTATGATTATGCACGTGTACATACAATGAATGATCAATGTCACAATTTTCTTCGAGAGATGAGTATTACTCCAGTTCAGACTCTCTTCCCTCTTCTGATTCAGAAGAAGAGTGTGGTGAGTCAAACGAAATAACAAATTGGCTATCTAAAAATCCCGAAGACGTCCTTGACTGTCCGCATTACCTATCGCGCCACAGAAAATACGAAAAATGGATGCTGCCAGTAATAAATGCAAGGAGAGTTATGACCATTTTCGCGGATACTTGCAATTGGTCAAGCCTCCTAAATTGTAAGTGGGTTGCTGGTGAATGGAAAAAAGAGAAACTCTGACTTAATTGAATGATTGACTTAGCAATTCAGAAGTTTGAGTCTGCATTGAAAACTAAATCGAGGTCGAATGACAAATCTCTAGACATATTTACACCTGTGCTTGGTAAGTTTAATCATGAATCCACAACTACTGTATAATTAAGATAAGCTCACCATTTACACATCACATTATATTTTCAGCGCGCTTCTTGATTGATCTTGATGAGTTTATAAAAAGGATTCCTCGAGATAAAAAGTACAAGAAAAATTTAAACTCGACAGAAGCTAGAGCCTGTACTATTGTTCAACAAAAGTCTGTGCAACTTCTTGAGACGTGGGATTCGGTGATTAGAAAGTATTCTGACGTAATTGATGCTGTTTTGATATCTCTTTTCAAGACTTAATACTTTGAAACACGTCGTTGACTCACTAATAAGAATTTTATTTAGAGCCCTCCGTCCGTACGAATATTATTTAAAGAAAAGGCAATCATAGATGCCCTTGAAATATTCCTGATGATTCCACCCCACAACTTCCTGTCGCTAAGAAATTTAAATATTGAAGCATATCCACAGTCCCTGAAAAAAATTCACACGATACTCGACTATTATTACTCGTTCTCAAATATCAAAGATATAACTACCAAAATCGGATTCGATTCTCTGACGGCTCTGGATTTGTCCAAAAATCGATTAAGAGGTATAAACATCTCTTCAAAGTGATCAATATTCTCAAGTAAACTGAATGCTATTTGTTTCATTCTTGTACAATAATAACCTTGATCTACGTCATTTGCAGATCTCCCTCATGAAATTTTCTTTTTTAAAAATTTGAAAATTCTCGATATCTCCTATAATCTCTTTCAATATCTCCCTCCACTGATTGCAAAATTTGTGTCACGTTCAGTAATCTTGCGTGTTGAACGTAATCCTTTCCGGAAGTCCAACACTCATAGAATTCAAAAATTAGTGGCAGATGAAAGCACAATAAACACATCAAGGGATTTGGTACCACGGTTGACAGATATCTGCGCACAGAATATCATTCTCAACAAAATTTTAATTACTCGCAAAAGAAAATTTCAGAAATTCATAGAAAATGATCAGAGTAAACGAATTACGAAACAAAGAAATATAAGCCAATCAATTCCCGATGTTCTTGTAGATTTCGTCAAACAGGGATATTTGTGTGAGGTCTGTAGATATTTCATCTCATCGACATCATCATTATTTCTCCCCGTTATAATTGAGTATATGGACTACGCATGGAATTATGGCAATTGTCGGGAAATAAGAAAATCGATCCCGTTAATAAGAAGGTTTTGTAAAAGCTGTTGGAATATGCACCGGAATCAAATCTGTGCATGCGCAACGTGTGGAAAAAAATGAGGACAGGATATATAAAGACCAAATATTTAGTGCACGAGTTAAGTCATATTTGAATTTAAGTATGCATCAATATAAGCGGACGTATTGCAATTCATTATTATTAATCTATGCTAGTCAATTCCTAAATATGCATGAATGTGTGGCTTCATCAAGTAACGTGCAAATGAATATCCCCTGCGCTTAATTTACACCCCTGTCCATAATCACATTGCATCTTGTAAACCTTCCTCCTATAATCTGTATGTGTTGACACGTAGAACATATTCTTGATGTATGATTTGTTTTGAATAATCATTTTCACATCAATTTCTTGGTTTTGTGTTTGGCTATTGTGGGAACAAGTAATGTAATTATAATAAAAAAAATTTTATTTTTGTTTCATGATAAATTTAATTTTTTTTTTTTTTAATTATATCTTAATAAAATTATTAAGTAAAATATTAGTCATTAATTAATTTAATTTTAACTAATTTGAAATTATATTGACCATCAATGGTAAATTTATGTAGTATATTTAAATATTAGATTCAAATATAATAACAATATTAAAATTTTTTACAAATTTTTGCTTTTTCAACTTGTCTTCTATAAAACTTAATTTACTGTATTCATTGTATATAAAAATATAATTTCAAAATTAAAATTACATAAACCTATATAAGTTATATAATTTAATATAAGATCTATAAATTTATAGCAAAGTAATTAGTACTTTCAAATTTCTATTATAAAATATCAAGTTTAACTCTAAATAAAGACAATTGAATTGATTTAATATAATATTTGATATCATAATTTGTTAAGTATTGTTTTTTAATAAAAAAATTTTTTTTAAAGAACTAAAGTGCGATATATACATGGCTTTTATTATAAAATCAATTAAGATTACAAATTCTTTACACATGTGAACAGTTTATTAACTAATGATAATATTAATTGACATTATCTACTTCTTTTTTATCAGAATATCAACTTACACTTTGTAAGTGTGTCTATACTCTGGATTATTTCCAACATTTAACCAAAAAAATATCTTTGACACTTAGATCCAATCTTGATTTTAATATGTTAATTATTACTAGGTTTCTTATCACATTTACATCTCCAGCTTATGCAATTATGATATCCATAGGTATACTTTTTTATACTTCCTAATAAATACTTCAAGAATTATTTCTATAGTTGACATATACTACCAAATCTGAAAACCATTAGATCAAATAAAATATAATTCCTAAATTTTTCAATAAATATATATAGACTCTTAGTTGACTTAAGCTGTTAAATCTAAGAATATGAATATTAAGTAGAATGTAACTTCTATAAAATGATTATAGACTTTATTTATATGTTTATGTCTTTACAATAATTTTCTTCAAAATTACTTAATCCAATTAATATATTTTTTATTATAGAATTTGTCATATCAGAAGAAAATATAAGCTTGTAATAAGAGTTTGATTGGAAGTCTTATCTTATACAATTTTCTTTGTTTTGATCTGTTTTCAACCTACGATCATTGAAAAAACCAGAGATCTCATCTTCATATAACTTAATTAAATTTAGAAATTAATTTATAATTAATTTGATATAATATAAATTAAAAGCTAATTAATCAATCATAAAAATAATAAATTTTTGTAACCAGATGGATTTGAATCCTAGACCTTTTCCTAATAATCCATGAAATATTATTACTATACTATAGACCCATAAGTTATGTTTTTTATATAATAATATTTTTTATATTTTTTAAATAAATATTAGAATTATCATAATAATAAATATTATAATATAATAAATATCAGATTAGTAAAAAAAACTCTTTCCCATTCCTCTCAAATATTTGAAAACTTTCTTTTTTAGGAAATTTTAACAAGACAAGTATGGATCCTTGTCAAGTTATTTTTTTTCTCCAAAGAAACTTTTTCCTTTCCTTTACCATTATCAAGAATAAAAATCCTCTTCTAAAGAAGATATCTGGTTGTCCCTTTTCTACTATAGCCTAAGAGTAGGGATCATGAAAAACTGATCCCTACCTAAGAGGTTTAGGTTGAGTAGTCCCAGGTGTTACAGGTGGAAAGGTCAAGATCTGGGCATATTGGATAAAAGACCATTTCTTCTTTTTTAAGACAAAGAGTTATCTTTGCCAAAACTGACACAATAAACTTTATATACATTAAAGACCTGTTAAATATGAGCTAACTTCAAGAATTTGATTGTAAAGACTCAAGCTGCATAAAAATGGAACTCTTAATTGAATTTTTCAAGACTAGACACCTTGTGAATAAAAGTTGCATAGAGAAAGGCCTTTGGTTTAATATCTTTTTTACTCATATATACAGAAACACTTTGGTTTGTTTTTTTTACAACAAAAAATCAAAATCAGTTTACACCTATCAAAAGATCAACATTATATTCCAACCAATCACAATTCACCAAAATTGCATTATTGATTATTACAATGACAACAACAATAACAACAACAATAATACTACTATCAACAATTTATCACATGTTAATATCAAATAGATAACTTTGAAGAGAATGATGATATAGATACTAATGTATAGGTATAGACATGGCAATGCTAATAGCTTATCGAGTATGTAGAAGTTGCATTTTGCTTGACAGTTTTTGCTCCTAGATTTGGCAGCTTAAGCCAACCGAATCCTTTGGAATGTCTACTAGGGGATTTTGGAGTTGTGTTTCACTTGGCCTTTGAAGCTCCTAGATTTAATAATCTATATCAACCAAAGATTACAGTTTTAAAGCATTTACTAGAAAGTATATACCCATGTCAGCCCCTTTGTTTCTATAACTGCATGAGCCAAAGTTGTAATATGAAAAGTTATTTACTTAATATTAATATGTCTAATTTTTTTTTTCTTTATTTCTTTTTTCATCTTTCATTAAAATTGTATAGTTTGTCATGCAACTATCTAGACAGTATATTGGTTTTAAATTTTCTTTTCTAATATAGTTTAGATAGATATTTTGATAAACTAGCATTTAACTCATATATTATGAGAGATATAGATTCTTTTTCAAAGTTATATTTTAGTATATACATATAATAAAGAATTAATGTTTATCAAAAAAATATATCTATATATCATATTAGTATTATAATAATTGTTATTAAGTTTAATATTTTTTAATTTCTATATTTGTTATTTTTTTTTTTTATAATTTATAAGATTATAATAAATTCTTTTTGAAATTTTGATAGAATAAATAAAATTTTTATATTATATTATAAATAATAAACTATAATTTATTTTTTATTTTTTTTTATTTTTTTTATAGTAAAACGTGTGCACAGTGTATAATCTTTATTGATATATTTATATATCCAGATAGATACCAAGTGTCTTTACAAATTAATCAACAATCGGTTGATACAGGATACTCTTTATATCTCTGCAGTTAATCTGTAAGTTAATACTGCCTAGTACATATATTACTATAAGACTAGCTACGCTAATTACTATTACCCAACTATGCATTCATTTAAACATTAAGGAGATATATTCACATGTCAAGTGGAACTTTTGCAAGGGGAGAATCCTACCACTAGTTTAAACTCATCTAAACCTGCTGGTCCATTATTGCAGAGAGTAATGTAGTATAAAATATTATTATAGAGACTAACCCCAGAATTCCAGTCATAAGTTATTGCTGATCCTCGAGATGTGCCACTAGCATAGCATTGTACTATCATTTTCACCATCTGTGAAACTGGCATTCTTGCTTGGATTCCAATTTAATCTTGATAATCCTTATCAGACTTACTTGATTTTAATGATTTTTGCCTAGATTGTTACCTTCTGTGGCAGATGACCTTTGCTTTTTTGGTCCATTTAAGTTCAGGAGAACACTACTTATGGGATAGATCTTTAAGCTTCAGATTGAAATAGATCTTGCTTAGAGTTAGCCTCTTTTTGTATTGTGTAACAGAGTCTGCCATTACCAGTTTGGGTTAAAATTTTGTGAGCTTATACCGAAGTTAGACCAGATGTTTTTTCTTATGCAACCTTTCTTGCTTCAACTTGTTTTCAACCCACAATCGTTAGAAAGACCAAAGGTTCCATCTTCATGCAGCCTAACTAAATTTGAAAATAGATTGTCAGCTGATTAAATACAACATGAATTGAAAGCTGATCAACCAATTATGAAGGTGATAAATTTTTGTAACCAGGTAGAATTGAACCCTAGACTTTCTTCTAGTAATCTATGGAATACTCCCACTGTACTATAGACCCATAGGTCATAATTTATTTTTTATTTTTAACAATATTAAGATTAAATATATAAAACATAATATATTACAGTAACTTTTTTTTGTTTTTTAAAGTAAAAAAATAATTTATATCTAGTTTTTATTAAGTTAACAATAATTATATACTATATATATATAGTTTAAAATTTAGATTGATATTGATAAATATTATTATTGATTGATTGGTTTTGTTTTTAATATTAATTTTAAAACTAAAATACTAAAATAAAATTTTTGATAAAGTATCAATTAGTTTCAATATTTTTTAAAAGTATTAATTAATATTTAAAATTCTGATTAATATTAATAATAAGAGTTATATTAAACTAATTTATAAGTCAATAATATAGTTAATAGTGTTTTCAGATAATCAAATATATATTATTAGTTCAATATCTATATAAAACAAATTGTATAAATTTTATTCTTTATAGTAGGTTTATCAGTTTTTCTATATACAGTGTGTTAAGAAAAAAATTGCAATTATATTTTTATTTATAACTTAATAAAGAATTGATAAAAATTGATA